ATTGTTGGTGCTCATCAGGAGATTCCCCTGTTTGCGCCTGGCTCGTTCAGTAGTTTGTGAGCGACATTTGGCACCTGAAAGCTTTTATTTTGCTATAATTTATAAAAATATTATAATTTTGAAAGTTTACCTTCATTACAGGTGCTATTGCCTAAAATCTTTACCATATGAATGAAGCTGCTACTATCGGAGAAGAACAAACTCCGTCCAATGAGCCAATGGCATGTGAATGGGCATAATACATTGCCATCCGTTTTTCGGACCACAACAGCGATGGCATGTACGTACATACCAACCAGCAGCTAGTGGTTTAAGTTCCTAAAAGGAATGTTGAGCTGTCTTTTCCAAAGTTTACAGCAAGCTCAACATTTATCAATTTGCCAGATGCATTCTTCCTACCTCAATTATTTCCATGTACATTCGTACTTGCTTTGGATATCTATAACACAGCACAACCCACCATGAGATATAAAAAGCTATATAGTATATATAGTTGTACCAGTCAATAAATTAACCAGTACAATAAAACAGCTAGTCGTAAACCAAAGCTTAGTGACATGTCTCGCCAATAATCACGAGACAGCTTTTGGGATTAAAAGCACATTGCACAATACCCTGGTTGCCATAGGAAATGATAGGAAATTCACTAGCCAGTGAATCCTCAGCCTGACATTAATGGGTTAATCTCCATTTCCCTATTCAAAACCTAGGCACACTGGCACTTCCATTATTACAGCAGAAATTATTGGCATTTCTAGACAGGTGATATGTAAGTAAAAAGCATGATGAAATTCATATGAAATGAATAAAAAACTGACTCATACAAAAGGACATCATCAGATACCTCAAATGCTGAAAACAATGATCACTTAATTAGTCTTCTGGAAAAAAATTAAGCAGTAATATATCATAATAGTCTTTAACAATAAATTTTTATAGTTTAAAAATTCTGACATCATTAAAACCAGTAATCATAATAACAGGATTACATCCCATGATACCAAGGCTTTCATACTTTGTTCTACGATAAACATCCACCATATACATTCAGGTAAGATGGACTGCTATGCTGTGCTCAGAACTCCTCCTCCAAGTTGCACAGGTTGGACAAGGTGTTTTGACAGTTCAGAACCCCTACCTAACCTTTGTCCATTTCACATAGGGCTCTTGGTAACCTATACCTCCCATACCAACACAGATGCTGCAGTAATGAGAATTCCAATATAGATGCTGTAGTAATGAGAATTCCAATGGGTATTCTTTCTCAAATCTGATTACCCCTTTCGCCTTCACTTGCAAAGCAGAGATTAATATTGCAGTGTCTTATTCGAGTTTGTTTATACAGCATTCTTTTTTTCTTTTCTATTGGTTCACATGGACTTACCAAATTTCCTAAAGACATATAATTTTTCAAATTTCACACGCACTATCATCTAAAGACAATATCAATAAAATACCAGTTACCGTGGTACAAGTATATATACGTATTACAAGTTACTTTACATCTGCACTGATATGTCACTTGGTTTATTATGCGTATGAAATTGAACTATGAGTCATGAAGTCAATCAAATCAAATTCGATACTGTATTCCTTCTGCATTTCGTATGACACACAATAACATACCTTTGAAGTTGTTGAAAAATGCCCATACAATACTGATTTTCAGAAATTCCACCGATCCCTTCGCTACCTGAACTGCATTCACCCTTCAAAGGTATTCTTCACATGACTTTCTGTTTTCTTTTCATCCATACGTTTTCGTAAGCAGATCCTGACGTCACAAGGATTCGTATTGGTGACGTCATGATAATCTATTCATGACGTCATATCGATCTGTTTCTCTCTCCATTAGTCTTTTATTTTTTGGGAATGAAATGCTATTATTGTCTGTCATAAGTTATCATCCAAATTCCTTACACACGCCCATGGAGATCAGTTTATGCAACCCATCTGTTTTTCATGAATGGTAAATGATACATCTTTTGCAAATGTTTTATTGGAATTGTTCAATATACTGATTTACAACATATCACGGTCTATTTCATAGTACATTCATTATATAGTATTTCAAAATGTGGGATACAATTCGTAATGATCATATATTCATTCACAATCAAGTGAAAGATGTATTCTGTCTCATTCCTTTACCATTCAGTCACAATACCAGTAAAAAAAAAAAAAAAAAAAAAAATAGATCGTAAAAACATTGGCCTATCCTGTATCATTTTCATATCTGCAAAAAGTATTGTTTATAAAATCAGTAGCATTCGTAAAAATAATCCAGATAAGGGCCCGTATCCCTTTCGTAGAAAGAGTAAACATGGCCGAGGAGAAGGACAATTCTTACACGATATTAGAGTATATGCGCGACCACAGTGGCTATAAGTGTGGCTATTGTAAATCCCAAAATACAAATTTCAGTCATGGTAAGTTTCCTCTCAAAAAATATAAGTGAAGTATGTGCCAAGATCCCGCTGCATATTTATGACAAAGCCTAGATATTTTGCAGCTGACATTTGAAGATAACACAGTGATGAAAGGCAAGGTTATATATGCTTCTTTTAGGCAGAACTAATTAATTAATTAATTTCTTGCCTGTTATCTATGAGTTTGCCTTGAATAGTAATTGTGTGGATTTTTATGAGTAGAATGAACTAGTAGCTGTCGCTTTGCTCATTTTAGAAATCATAGGAATTATTGCACCATTTGCATCTCTCTTCTCTCTTCCCTCCTTCTTTTCCTCTCCCTCTTCTACAGCTTTCAATTTTTTTGTAGTTGTTATTATTTTATTTTTGTTTTTATTGTTATTGTTATTATTATTCCTTTATCTAATGTTCACAGGGATGTGGGCCCATCAGATAACAGTAGGCGACTATCAGGACTTGATTGACCGGGGATGGCGACGGAGTGGCAAATACTGTTATAAGCCTACTATGGACAAAACATGTTGCCCGATGTATACAATCAAGTGAGTGTCAAAAATTTATCAGCATTATCTTAAGTTACTTTGTTAAATATGGATAAGGTGTATATTTCTTTTCTTTTTTTTTTAGTTGCTGTGCTTTAATATAGATATATTCATGATGACAGATGTGATGCAGTGGAGCTCAAGTTGAGTAAGACTCAGAAGAAAGTTCTAAAGCGGATGCATCGTTATCTAAGTCATGGGGAAATAAAGAAAGGAAGTGGCCCAGACAGCACTTTCGATAATGGTAAGTTATGTTCAGAGCTAGTGCTCCACTTTTAATTTTATTTCTGTTTCTTTGTTTAATTATGTAGCAGTGCCTCTATATGTTGTTCTTTTTCTAAATCTTAAACCTCATTCAGTATTTATATTAATATTTGCTCTTAATTCCTAGTAGAAAGCTCAGAAGATTTAGGAGGTAATCAAGAATTTATCAAGCCTCAGTATGATACCAAAGAAGATCTCTCAGGTGTATCCCTTCAAATGCCATGTGAGGATGCAGCCAAGAGTAAGTAGGAATTTGTTTGTATTTCATTATAATTGCTGGTGAATTTCACATGTTAATCTCCTGATTTGATACTGAATTTGGAGAGTAGGATATTTGAGACAGATGCAGGTGCTTGAAAATGTGAAAAATGAGTTTCCTGTCTTATTTGTAGTTTCCACTTGAATTGCAATAATTTGAGTTGGCTCCATTTTATAACACTTTCCTTGATTAGGTGTTTTAATTCAATGTTTGACTTTTCAAAATAATAGCTTTCCAAGTTTCAAATAAAGAATTTTTTGCACATAAATGTTTTTCAGTTTGTTATTAAGAGTTCATATGTATGTATGTATGTATGTATGTATGTATATATGTATGTATGTATGTATGTATGTATGTATGTATGTATGTATGTATGTATGTATGTATGTATGTATATA